TGTGCGACACAAATAATACAAAACTATACTGTATAAAACAGAAACTACTAAATTGTCATTTTTTATTTTAAAAATTCAGATCTGTGCTAAAATTCATTCTTGCATTTAGATTTTTTTTAAAAATAATTCTGAAGACAATAAAGATTTAAGGGGCTAGAGTAAGCAAGGGCAAAAAGCACACACTCAAGAGCATCAACTGGAATGAATTAGCTCATGTCGTTCTTTGGGCAAAGTTAGAGATGTACCTGGCCGTTATCGTGAATTATGTTATCGCTTCCCAACTGAAGTCGAAATGACCCCTTCCAAATTGTCTGAAAGATATTCAAGTATGCGAAAAAATGTATCTCTGCATTTTGACTTAATATAAATTTTTCTATGGGGGGCTCCTGTTCCCATTTTTGCTCGAGAGCTTTTCGGCACCCTAACTTTCTGCACCCACCTTCCCTCATGCCAATCAAAATAACAATACGGCGTTGAATATAGGCTCGTGCCAGAATGATGACCTGGAGGCGCGCCACAATCAGAGTGAATTCAGTTTATGTTTGGCACTGGGCGCAATAGTGCCTCACCAAACGCTTGAAAAATTGCATCCTCCAATCAAATAGTTTAATAGAAACACTAAAATCAGGTATACTCCAAAATGAACAATTTGATTTTGAAATAATAAAAAATTCTTTGTGGAGGTGATCCCCCGACCCCAATTTTTCAGCTCAATAGTAATCGACGCACTCAATTTCTTCCCTACTTCCAGACAAAAATAACAGTGCACCAGACCCATCTTCAGGTCAAAAGCATCAGTACCCCTAATTATAATGTTCGTTAACAGCTATCGTCAATTTTCGGTGCCGATAGATACACTGTCTAGTAGTGTAGCTAGTGTAAGTGCCGCCATGGCTGGACCAATGCTTTTGCCGCACTTTCTTTCACGATACAAACTCAGTTTCTCTATCGTCCGAAAATGCCACTAGTCCATATAAAGAAAAAGTGACACCTGAGTGGACTATCCTGTCCGCATCCCCTTTTTTTACGCCAATGGCAGAGGCGCAGCTAGAGTGTTTAATGCAAGGAGACAAGATTCCTATTTACCCCAACCTCCACCCCCACCCCGGCTTTATTTCTGAAACCCACTATCTTCTTCTATTAAATACTATAAAAGCCCAATTTGGTGCACCGTTAGTCTGGCACCCGGGGACATCTGTCCCCTCTGCCTCCCCCTAGCTACACTTCTGGCCACAGGTACTCCCCCCTACCCCCGAAAACTTGAAATGTCCCCTCCCCCTGGGAGTAAATTGTCTGAAAGACACACTGGTTGTGCCATGCAGAAGTAAGTTATTCAAACTAAAACTCTTCAGCTAATGTTTACGCAGGGCTGGCCCGACGGTTGCTGGCACCCTGTGCAAGCTTAACTTTAGCGCCCCTTATAAGTATAATCATTAAAGTAAAAAGCGAGTTATTTGGTAAATATTACCCTGTATGGCTCCCCTCTTTTTCCGATTACGATGTACTTTTTCTGCTTTGCGCTTGCGATTTTGCTCAACGGAAAGCGTTTTATTCCAAATATTCTTTCTGCTAAAATAATTGTAAGAGGGACAAGTGGGGTGGGTTGAGGATGGACATTGTAAAAGTCTTGCACCGTAAACTCGCCCTTGTATAATAACACCCCACGTCCCCAGTTGGCCCTTGCAGTATGCAAACCCGAGTAATCTTCCGTGTTATTATTGGATTCCGGCGTGCGACAGCTCAAGCAAAAGCGTGATTTTGTATTCCCCCCCTCTCCCCTATAATTTTTCTGGGTGTAAGGTTGAGCCCGTAATATTAGACTGATGTCATTGTTGGGAAAATAAATAACTTTTAACCCAACCAATTAAAACCGTTCCCAAACTTTCAATAAACATCAGGGGCAGATTAGACTCTGTCTTTTTAAGGATCCGTTCACTTGATTGTGAACGCTGTAGCTTACTACACTTCGGACTTCATTAGCGTTGTCAGTAGCTGCAACCTAGAATACTACCTGGTTGAATTCTTGCTGAACCGACGCACCTTGAAGCCTGAACTAGGGGATTGTTTTTCACGTGTCACACCAAACTACCTACGGCTACGACAAGAACCTGGAGATTCAGGGACTCTTATCACCCACGATTTATCACTGGCAAGTCTACTTCCCCCACCGCAGAGATCTAACGGAAACTCTTGGAGCAAGAGGTTGCCGCCGTCTACTACCGGGAACGTCTACTTCGCTTCGCCTTGAAAACCTTCAAAGATCGGAACGGAAGACACCCCTCTTGGGCGGAAGAAATTCCAATACTTATAGGCACGCCGAGATCAACAATGAAATTAAATTAGGCTAAGTCCACCTCTGTTGAACATATGACCTTGAGCAAATATAGCATTTATAATATTTTAGGGACACTTATATTCAAGTAACATACATTCAAAATCTTGCTGAACTGAATTCCATTTTGTATACATATTCTCTAACAAAGGAGTGAACTACGACGCTAATGTAAATACCCATCGTGAATAAACACTTGCAGTTATTTCCCCCTTTGATTCAGTCTATATGTATATAGATAGGTTCTTATGTCTGTGTGGTAATTTGGCCTAATTAAATGAATCCCCATGACAGATTGCAAAGAGGATATCTCATACGAGAAATACATTTCAAAGTCAAAACATAAGTCCGATCACCACAACAAGGAACTACGGTATTAATAAATTAATTTCCAGGCACTTTCGGTTGGTCCCAACCCCAGTGCTAGTATCCAAATTAAGATTGCAACGTTCATTGTTTGAGACTCATTGTGTGAAACTCATTGTTTGAGACTCATTGTATGAAACTCATTGTTTGAGACTCATTGTATGAAACTCATTGTTTGAAACTCATTGTATGAAACTCATTGTTTGAGACTCATTGTATGAAACTCATTATTTGAGACTCATTGTATGAAACTCATTGTTTGAGACTCATTGTATGAAACTCATTGTTTGAGACTCATTGTATGAAACTCATTGTTTGAGACTCATTGTATGAAACTCATTGTTTGAGACTCATTGTATGAAACTCATTGTTTGAGACTCATTGTATGAAACTCATTGTTTGAGACTCATTGTATGAAACTCATTGTATGAAACTCATTGTATGAAACTCATCGTTTGAGACTCATTGTATGAAACCCATCGTTTGAGACTCATTGTATGAAACTCATTGTTTGAGACTCATTGTATGAAACTCGTTTGTTGGAGACTCATTGTATGAAACTCATTGTTTGAGACTCATTGTATGAAACTCGTTTGTTGGAGACTCATTGTATGAAACTCATTGTTTGAGACTCATTGTATGAAACTCATTGTTTGAGACTCATTGTATGAAACTCATTTGTTGGAGACTCATTGTATGAAACTCATTGTTTGAGACTCATTGTATGAAAAAGTTAAAAATATCGTTTCTCGACGCCGGACCCGAGGTTCACACTTCCCTATAATAAACTAAGGGAATTCAAATATTTACTGGGCGCCCCAGGCGCCTATGCCCACGGCGCCCTGTGTGAGGGCACAGGTCGCACACCCTAAGGGCCGGCCCTGCATTACGGTTTTACAAATGAACAACTTATAGAAAACTCCGGATTGTATCATTATTTCACAATAAAAAGGTTGCTGTGCCAAAAGTAATGATATTAAAAATGTAATCGATAAATTTGAAGCTTTAAAATCTAGGAAAGACGAATTAAAAATGGTTTGTTCTTACAGTTCAATTAATGTTTGAATGTAATATTCGGCATAACAGTATCAGCCCAAGTTCAGTTTTCGGGAACCTTTAGAAACAAAATATTTTTGCTTTAATTTTTTTTTATTCGTTGCTAATTAGCGGTGGGACATTGATGCAATTAAGAAAACAAAATGGCGCTACGTCGTTTTAATAACATTTCTCATTGTTTTAGGCAATTACCAACTTGTGTAGTTGTTACTGTGTGCATTTGTCACTGTGTGTAGTTGTTACTGTGTGCAGGTGTCAATGCCTGCAGTTGTTGCTGTGTGCATTTTTCACTGTGTGCAGTTGTTTCTGTGTGCAGTTGTCAATGCCTGCAGTTGTTGCTGTGTGCATTTGTCACTGTGTGCAGTTGTTTCTGTGCGCAGTTTTCACTGTTTGAAGTTTTCATTGAATAAACTCCTTAGAAAATGGTTTGCAAAGAAACAGGGGTTCTTCATGATTCAATTAGTTACTTGGTTGTTCATGAATCATATAGTTACCTTGATGTTCATGATTCATTTATTACCTGGATGTTTATGATTCATTTATTACCTGCTTGTTCGCGATTCAAATTCTGGTTGTTCCTGATTTATATAGTTACCTGGTTCTTCTTGAGTCAATTATTTATCTGGTTGTTCATGATTCATATAGTTACCTGGTTGTTCAAGATTCAAGAGGTTACCTAGTTGTTCATGATTCAAATAGTTATCTGGTTGTTGATGATTCAATTAGTTACCTGGTTGTTCATGATTGAAATAGTTACCTGAATTTTCTTGACATATCCACACAAACATACCAAGAAGAAACACAATGAAATGAAGAATCTATTTTTTTGTTTTATTCTCACTCATCTGTTCAGCGAATATGACAAAACTGCGAATATGCAATCAACAATATTTCCACACTGTTAACAGTGATCGTGTTTCTGATCAGTTGGGCCAAATAAAATTCCTGTAATAACTAGCGTGAAGGAGCAATACTCCGCCAGGCATAATCTGTGGAGTATGTCCAGAGGCTACTGCACTATTCTATCGGCGTTTTGGGAAACGCGTCATTTGCCTGGCTGGTATTGTGATCTGATTGTCGTGCAGGACAAGCTCCGGTCCGTCATATTGATGTTTTGGGCAAGGTTGTTGGTTTTTTTTTTTTTTTGGGTGGGGGGGGGGGGGATTCTTGAGAAAGGCATTATGCCTAAAAAAGATACATTTTTTTTTCAAACTTCTATTTCATTTAACAATAATAAAATATTTTTGTCCCGGCAACCGCAAAAAAATTAAAGAGGACCTCCAAAGTCTTATCTAAGATCCTTCTAGCCAGTGACATCACCCACTGAAGGCAAAGAGCTGATCTCAATATTTCATACTCAACGCATTGCCAATATCTGAAATCTTGCCAAGCTGCACTAAATGTAAAATTTATTACAAAAGGAAGAGAATCTGATTGGCCTAAAGCAAGATCGATAAATCTTGTTCTTTTGTTACGGCTCATTTAAAACTAACCGTCTTTCCTTGCTGACTCAAAATACAAAGATGATGAATGTATTGAAACAAGAAAGTTTAGCAATTAAACAACTCATAAATCGTGGAAAGATATGTTAATGTTAACTTTCTATAGTTAGATGCTTGAACCTCTAAAATAATTCATGATTTGAAAAAAATTAATCATGTTACAATTTTAATTTTAATAATCTATTTTAAAGGGGGATGGGACTCGTCACATTAATTCATTCCCAATATACGCGGATGTCAATTCCTTTACTTCAACTATTAGTGTCTCGGCACAGGGAATAAAAAAATAAAATATAAAAATAAAAAAAAAACAATAAAACTAAGTGTAATTTGATGCCCACATTTCGATTATTTCTGAATTCATTTAAGAACTTTGTTGCCTAATATTAAGAGGATTAATTATTATTATAATAATCCAATAATCTGTAAGAGCGGTAAAACGATGTTTAAAAAAGGATTATAAAAAAAAGTCAACCATTAAGTCTCTCATAACAATAAATATTTTATTTTGTTATAACTCCCTACATTGAAGATGATGTGACGTTGCATATTTTATCTAAATCGAAGTATTTCAAATTGATTTATAAACTGACGAAATTATCTGACTGAGCTTCATAAAAGCGTATACAATTTTAAACCCATTACCATTCACATACTGAAACAAACTGGAGTACGTCGTGTAGCGTTGTTAAGTCAAAATGAACCACAACATTATTTAACAATTTAAAAAAAATAATTTTCCGTTGCTTTCAAAATCTTTCCTGTCCCCATCCTACTTGAAAGATTGAAAAGAAACGCCCATGTTCGTGAATGAAGAGACACGGCTATGTTCTTAGAACCGACCGAGAAACTTGGTGAGACCAACCAGCAGCACACCGAAGACGGTACCCATCTGAGCGACGTGACCCGGGGTGCCACTTTTCCCATTGATGGAAACTGCTCCAGGCTTAGCACCGGACGTGTCCAAGGGACCAGAACCTTTAATAGATGCGGACTCGACTTCCCAGTACTTGACTTTGGTCTGGGCCATAGAACCTCTGAGGAAAAGTAATTAAATCCTGAATGTCAAATAAATACCTTAAATTATAAATGTCAACTAGATATCTTAAATACTGAATGTCAACGAGATACCTTCAATCCTGACTGAATGTCAACGAAACACCTTAAATACTGAATGTCAACTAGATACCTTCAATCCTGAATGTCAACTACATACCTTAAATCCTGAATGTCAACTAGACACCTTAAATACTGAATGTCAACAAGATACCTTAAATCCTCAATGTCAACTAGACACCTTAAATAATGAATGTCAATTAGATACCTTCAATCCTGAATGTCAACTACATACCTTAAATCCTGAATGTCAACTAGATACCTTCAATCCTGAATGTCAACTACATACCTTAAATCCTGAATGTCAACTAGATACCTTCAATCCTGAATGTCAACTAGACACCTTAAATACTGAATGTCAACTACATACCTTAAATCCTGAATGTCAACTAGATACCTTAAATCCTGAATGTCAACTAGACACCTTAAATACTGAATGTCAACTAGATACCTTAAATCCTCAATGTCAACGAAACCCCTTAAATACTGAATGTCAACGAAACCCCTTAAATACTGAATGTCAACTAGATACCTTCAATCCTGAATGTCAACTACATACCTTAAATCCTGAATGTCAACTAGATACCTTAAATCCTGAATGTCAACTAGACACCTTAAATACTGAATGTCAACTAGATACGTTAAATCCGGAATGTCAACGAGATGCCATAAATCCTGACTATCAATGACTTTGTAACATTTTATGTTTTTATTATTCGCAATCTTCTGTCAACTACGTATCGGTACGTAAGTTGCTTGGATCTAACTTTATTCTGACTTGGTTTAGACAGTGTTCCAATCGAAACGTTCTTTTTTTTGTGTGTGTGGTCTTGTCTTGATATCCAACATTTAACCCATGAATATCTCAATCTAAATACGTTTCTTAAACTTTGATTCTTGTTCTAAAAGTGCTATTTCAAGCTATTTCTTGGTGACCTTATAGTGGGTCACAACACAAAAGGCGCATGTGCATGTAAAAAACAACAACTGTAGCAATCAAATAAGAAGGTGGCCTGACGTTCAAAACTTATAGAGTTATCTCAAACTACATTGTTTTTAAATTGATAAGAAAAAAGAATTTTTAAATTATTTTTCAGTTGCAAATCCTTAACATCTTCAAATAGTAGCGGGTATGTAAGTTTAAAATATCAGTAAATTTATTGATAATGAACTAAGTGAGGTGTTCAATGAACATCTACATGTGCTTTTCTGTGCGTTTGGAAGAGTGGCTCAATGTTTCTGTTCATTCTGTGCCAAATTTTGAATACTATTTCTTTTCTTTTAATTTTTCTGGCTAGTCCTTATTTTAAGAAAACATCAACCTAAAATCACACATTGTATCATTATATCATACAAAAAACAACAAAAACAAACAACAGCAACGTCCATAACTATTGCTCTATAGATCTATTTCTCATTGATGTTTATAAAGCGCTTATCGTCTGTCCAGTCTACACACGGTAAGTTCAGTGAGATGGTCTGTCCAGTCTACACACGGTAAGTTCAGTGAGATGGTCTGTCCAGTCTACACACGATAAGTCCAGTGAGATGGTCTGTCCAGTCTACACACGATAAGTCCAGTGAGATGGTCTGTCCAGTCTACACACGGTAAGTCCAGTGAGATGGTCTGTCCAGTCTACACACGGTAAGTCCAGTGAGATGGTCTGTCCAGTCTACACACGATAAGTTCAGTGAGATGACAACGGCCGGCGTTACTTGGACTCACGTTATGGAGATCTTTCCGATGTTCTTGTTGGGCGGATGCCACACGACCTCCATGCTCTGTCTTATGAAGGCTGCTGTGTGGGTCAAGGTATCCTCGTTGCTGTAGCAGGTCATGGCCTTGGCAGCCAACGGGAAATCTGAGAAATGTCCGGCAACTTCTCCGAACTCTGACCTGGCCTGGAGCATGAAAGCCATGAAGTCACGTGCGCTTGGTCCAACTGCTGTTATAGTCACTGGTAGACCGAGGATTACAATTGAAAGGTGAGCGAAAATAGAGGCAAGTTTATTCATCTGAGGAGATTCGGGGTAGTATGAGAATGTAACGTCTAAGGAGATTTGGGGTAGGGTGGGAGTTTACCCTCTAAGGAGATTTGGGGTAGTATGAGAATGTAAGGTCTATGGAGATTTGGGGTAGGTTGAAAATTTACCGTCTAAAGAGATTGGGGTTAGGGTGAGAATGTACCATCAAAGGAGATTTGGGGGTTAGGGTGAGAGTGTGCAGTCAAAGGAGATTTGGGGTAGGGTGAGAGTGTACAGTCAAAGGAGATTTGGGACAGGACGTATGTGTTGCAATCTCATGGGAAAGTTTTGTGTAACTGCTTTATGCTTATGTTATTGATGATAGTATCTTTTTTTTTTTTATTCCAACGCCACATTTGTACGTCTTTTCAATTTTTAATAATGCCAACATTTCTTGTGATCTTATCAGAATATTACACGAATTAAGGGAAAGGCATTTTAAAAAAAAAATAATTTCAGCATAATGGCGCCATGTCTTGTTATTCTCAACGATAGTGTGTTAATTGATAGACCTACCGTCCCCATTGTGATCATTGGACGCATACGCATAACATAAAGGATTACTGGACACTTCCAGTGTCATATTGGCAGATTAGGGGGGGGGGGCGGGTCATTTTTATTACAATTTATGACTCATTACATTTAAACACATTTAGGGTCGCCACAAAACTGTTTCGGTCTTCGTTCCCATCGGATCAGAAAATTAAAATAATACTATTGGATTCAATTCATTAAAAAAACAAACTGGTCGCTATATTTGATATACANTTTGGGGGGGGGGGGGGGGGGGGGGGGGGTTGTATATGACGAAATAGTATGTGCTATGATATTAGCAGTTTAAAATTCCACACATCGAATGGATGTTGTTTTTTTTTTTAAAGTTTTAAAAAGTACTTTCTTTGGGGGAAGTTAATGGTCTGTTAAGTGTTCGGCTTGTAGTGGTGTCGGGAGAAAAGGGGGGGGGACGGGGGACGGGGGCGGCTAACTTAGAACAGCACGGGGTGCTACTGAAGTTTACTACGTCACTATCCACACCTGAGCTGCTGTTGGTAGGGTAAAGGGGGAGGGCGTGGTGAGAAGAGGTCAAAGGTGAAGATTTGTTAAAAACAGAACGTGAGAAATTATAAATATTTGTTTTATAAGCTAAGTAGCTACCATTGGTTTCTAAATGCAACAAGCTAGGTAGCTACCATTGGTTTCTAAATGCAACAAGCTAGGTAGCTACCATTGGTTTCTAAATGTAACAAGCTAATTAGCTACCATTGTTTTCTAAATGTAACAAGCTAATTAGCTACCATTGTTTTCTAAATGTAACAAGCTAAGTAGCTACCATTGGTTTCTAAATGTAACAAGCTAGGTAGCTACCATTGGTTTCTAAATTCATACGCATAACATAAAGGATTACTGGACACTTCCAGTGTCATATTGGCAGATTAGGGGGGGGGGGAGGGTCATTTTTATTACAATTTATGACTCATTACATTTAAACACATTTAGGGTCGCCACAAAACTGTTTCGGTCTTAGTTCCCATCGGATCAGAAAATTAAAATAATACTATTGGATTCAATTCATTAAAAAAACAAACTGGTCGCTATATTTGATATACAAAAAACTTACATTTCAGAGGTGTGCTCCCGTAGGTTGTATCATTGAGGATGAGCATGTAGGGCGCGGCCCCTGTTTGCAGCTCACCATCAATGTGCACCGGCATCAAGTTACCGCACGCTGACAGCGGGGAGCCCGTGGGGAAAGCTGAAATAGTTTGTAATAATACCAGCGACGACATCACAACGGCAGCAGACGGCAGGCCGGTGAAAAGCTGGAAGTACTCCATCTGTGGGATGATATCCTCGTTCGAAAATATTGAATAATTATCAAGACAAATTGAACTCTTTATATGAAAAAACGGGTTGTTCAACAATTTATTTAATGTTAATTAAATCACAGAGATTTCATTATATCCTTGATGACGAATTTCATTTGATAGAAATAAAGGCACCAGGTGGCCGGCTCTTTCGGGGTTAGGACTTGAGTGTGTGACCCACGGCTGAAATGGTCTTGTCCAAGCTCGGATACTCCCCAACTTCCTGTCTACCTACCGGTGCACAATTTTTTTTTTTTTTTAAAAGGTGGGGGGGGGGGGGGGGGGAGAGGCTGTCATTAAGCTTGAGGGGAGTTACGTCTCTAGATATGACCATCCCCTACCTGGGGTGACGTCACGAGTTAGTGAGACGCCATCACATGACTACAGCCCCAGGGAGAGGACATGAACTAAGCACCAAGCTCCATCAATGTTGTAGAAAAACCTGTAACTGTTAAGAATTTGAAATGATTTTAGATCTTCGCATGTAAAATGTTTCCAAAGAGTAGTTAAATCATTGCGTAGAAGGATCAAGTAGAGGTATCCTATAAATCAATGGCGTTGCCGAGATTTGAAAATATTTTCATCAGAGGACCCAGCAACTGATGCGTCTGTCCTACCTACTTACTTGATACGCCAATTGTATCGCTAAACAGCCCAGTTGCCTAATTGAATAGCATCATTGTGTTCGAAAATTTTTTTTCAAAATTATTTTCGAAGTATATTTTTATCATTATTCAACATTTCTATTTTCATAAATGTCCTAAAACTATAAATGTATAATCATCCCATACCATCTTTATATCCTTTTACTATATAATTATAAATTTATTATCGCTGTATAACAGCTTTGTATCATTTTCCTAAAACTATAGATCTATCATCGTTGCATATAAAACAAACGCATCATTTTCGTATAACTATAATGTTTCCATCCCCATTATTGTCAAAACTGTAAATCATTGTAATATAGTTATACCCTACATGACCGTGCCATGTAATGTGCCGTGTAATGTGCCGTGTAATGTGCCGTGTAATGTGCCGTGTAATGTGCCGGGTAGTGTAATGTGTCGTGTTATGAAATACAAGAACAATAGGCCAGTTTGTATCGCATTTTTAAGGTTTTCGTGTACATTTATTTAAAGAACTCGCACGTGATCTCTCTAAACATTCACTATCATACGAATACCTGACAGATCTTCTTGTAACGTCACACTACAAAAAATGTGATATCAGCGTCACTTGTTTCATTTTAAGGGTTGCACCGCAAACCCTGACAACATGCTCGTTAGAACGTGATTGATTGATGACGTATACATTTGATTCACTGCGCCAAAAAACTAGCGGAGTGTGGCGTGATCAGATTAAGCTTCTAAAGTCAAGGAACGTTACAGACACCAAAAAAATTACTAACATATTTTTTTTTGGGGGGGGGGGTGGGGGGGTGGGGGTCATAAAGAGCGCAAGCTCGACGGCCCGCTGAAGCCATTTCTTAATGT